GTGGACATGATGAAGGACAAGATTCTAAAAATAAAGGCAATTTTTTAGAATTAGTAAAACTATTGTCAAAGTATAATGTAGTGTTGAAAGAACACATGATGCAATTGGAGCAAGATAAAACTTCAAAAATATCATATTTGTCGCCAGATATACAGAATGAATTCATTAATGTTTTATCAAACCATGTGAAAACTAAGCTTGTCAACGAAATTAAATCGGCGAAATATTTTGGTATTATGTTTGATAGCACACCTGACATTTCACATATTGACCAAATGTCTGAAGTGATACGTTATGTAAAAATTGAAAATAGAAAAGTGGACGTCAAAGAAGTATTCCTTGGATTTTTTCCTTTGAAAGGAAAAAAAGCCTCTGATCTAAGCGAAGAAATTCTTGAGAAGCTTAAGACAGACGATTTAGATATTATGATGTGTCGTTCTCAAGGTTATGACAATGCTGCTGTTATGAGCGGTGTGCACGGAGGAGTACAGTCCATTATTAAAACAAAAAACAATAAAGCTATTTTTATTGGTTGTATTGATCATTCGATTAATTTGTGTGGTCAACATTCATTTGCCCAAAATGTATCTTGCGTTACATTTTTTGGAACGGTAGAGACGATTTTTTCTTTTTTTTCCGCCTCCACTAGCCGTTGGGAAGTGCTTATGAAACACAGCAAATTATCTGGTAAAAGACTCGCAACAACGCGTTGGAGTGCTCATTACCGTGCAGTAAAAGCACTAGCAGAGAATTTTGAAGGACTTGTAGACGCAATTGAGGAGTTGTGTGATGGACAAGAAAATATAGACACCAGAGGTGCTGCACAAAACCTCATGCCTGCTGTGTGCAATTACACTTTTTTATGCTATCTATTTTTCTGGTATGATGTTCTTCGGGAAATAAATGCTGCACAGATTGCATTGCAAAGTAAAGGCTTGATTGTTGACGAAACTGCTACAAAAATAGAGGCACTTCGTCTTTATATCGAAGAAAAACGGGGTCACATTGTGGAAGAGGCAATAGATATTGCTACAAAAAAATCAGAAGACTACGATATTTCAACAGAAAGACGATTCCGTCGTAAAAAACGGGTTGTTGGTGAGATAGCCAGCGATGCAGGACTCACACTGAAAGAAGAACTTCAAAAAGATATGTTGGAATGTCTTGACCGATTCAGAGTTGAACT